AGCATAAGAAAATAGCTCTTACCCCCCTCCCCCTCCCCCTCTGCTATATTAGAAATAACGTCGACCCCGCTAACTGTTTTAGCTATAAAACAAGCACAGGCTAGTCGAGTCAACTGTAGCAACGCAAAATTCACTACAGGAACCCAGATGCAAGGTGCTTACTCATCTGGACCTAAGTGTTAAGGCAAAAACTTTTCAGGAGGAGCTTACGGGGTCTGTTCTGCTAAATAACTGTTCTTGTATGAATTTGTTCCGTTGAAAATCTCATATGCAAATGTGGCGCCCTTGCTTCTTTCAAATTGATTTTGTTCCTGGCAAAGGTTTTCAAGTCAAAAAAGGCTTATGTAACGTTTTAATGGTCAACCGTTGATACTACTTGAGCTTTTTATGTCTAATAAATCATCAATATGTTTTCAGCTTCTACATCTTCAATTTATATAACAACTACATTCTAAATTTATGACAAAATTGAAAAAATCAATAGCTGAAAAAAAAATCCATACCTTGGTCAATTTCAATCCCACATCAACGAGTCTTTGAATTTAGATTTCCATTACTCCATTAGTCAGGCGCGTAACGTGGACTTTTTATACACATGTCAGGGACCGCGACATGATATTTTGGATATGGGGGTCTAACGACCGCCAAAGGCGGAAGTTAAATTCACGACTCGACTTTCCATACTCAGGTTCATTGCCCACGAACAAAGCATTGAACCGAGGCGTCAAGGAACACGGATCACAGATCTTTTCTTTTATGTTCACTGCAGTACCTTGACGCCTCGATTCAATGCTTTGTTCATGGTCACTGAACCTGAGTATGGAAAGTCGTGAATTAAGGGAGTCTGGACCTCCCCCAGAAAATTTTGAAATAACTAACTCTTGGAAATGCGATTTCCAGCGTTTTGAGACATCGAAAATTATGAAAATTTTGAATGAAACTCAAGGCCCCCCGCTCTGTTAATTAGGTAATTTTACTTTGAGCCCCCCTATATTGGCATCAATTTTATGTAATTTTCCCCCCTCTGGTTTTACGGTCCCCCTCCTGGTAACAGGGTCTGAATGGGGGGGTTCCGATATCAGTTAACAGCTAAATTTTGGCAATTTTCTCAGTTATCAGTTAAATTTCTCGGTTCTCAGTTAAGCCACATGTTAATTATTGTTTTTGTGTAATAATTAACAACTAAATATTCAGAAAGTACGTTTTACCGGTGTTCTTTCAGGCTAAGAAAGTTCCCCAAATGGTTCTTCAGCTTTAATACTGAGCTTTGAACACTGTAGTCAATATTGGAACTCCGATCGAGTGTACCTCCTCCCCTTTTCTATGGTAGTAAACTAATACTTTCACCATGCCCTTCATAACGATGTTAGATGGCTTCGATCAAGTCAACTTTTTAATCAGCAGTTATATCTATGCCGTGACATAAAGTTGATATCACACGTGATAGCCAGACAGGGACCGCGAGCGGTTGATTATGTGGGGGGCTGATGAGCGCCGAAGGCGTGACATTTTGGGGGGGTACGGGGGCATTCCCCCCAGAAAATGTTGGAGTTTTAATCCTCGGAAATGCGATTTCCAGCATTTTGAGAGAATCGAGAAGACCCATAATGCATTAATTTTATGGAAATTTTGCGTGACTTAACAATGAAAAAAGGCATTTTTGCTCGTTCGCATGAAGCGGTGGTACCTGCCAGAGTGTGTGGTACCACATGCAAAGCGAAGAAATCGTCTTCGGGGTCGTGTCTTTTTTGGCGCCTGCATTCAGCGGTATTCCAAACTAAACACCGGTGTCACGTGACCGGCCGATGCCAGGGCTATCTCTGTCCGCCATTTTTGAAAAACAAAAAACAAAAAAAACAACAACAACAACAGAGAAGCCCTGGGAACAAGGTTCAATTACATACAAAACATGTGCAGACAAAGGAATATCAGCTAACAGTTATTTTGTTAATATCAGTTATCAGCTAAATAAACCTGAAATTCTCAATTAACAGTTACTATTTTAGCCGTTTCTCAGTTAACAGTTAACCCCATTCAGACCCTGTGGTAACTATTGCACAGTCCCTAACCGAGGGTCTCAGGTGGGTGGTACTCATCACGGCTGACGGCTAAAAAGCAAAATTTTGAAATCTCCACTAAAGCTTTTATTTTTTAAATTCACAAAAAA